CAGCAGTGCAGCTATAGCAGAGTAAGTGTGAAATATTAGAGTAAGTCCTAAGAAGCTGACTGGATTTTGGTATCCAAGAGAATACTGCAGGGAGAAGTATCCGTGTTACCTGAGCATAGCGCAGTGAGACGGATGTCCTTACCAAAGCCTAGTCTGTGTTTGGCTTAACTGGAAAAGACTCATGCCATTGCATACCTGGGCTCTGTTCACACTCCCTTGGATGTTCTTCTAAGAAATGTGAAACCTTCAGATGGTCCCATCACTGGAGAAGGCAGGAAACTGCCTAAAGGAGGATGCTCAGGTGCAAAAGGTAGCAGCATTGCACAAGACTTCGGGTTCAAAGCTAGACTCTGATTGACAGATGTTTTCAGGTTGTAAATTGAACAACTGGCTGGCAAAATAATCAACACTGCTGAAAAAGGCTCTGCAAATAAAAACAGGCACAGACTGGTAGGCAAGAGAAGCCTCTGGGTCCCTTCAGCCCTGTGACTCTGTATGGAGAAGCCAGTCGTTTCAAGGGGATCAAGGGGAAAGCCAGTTTCACTGAGACACAGTCACGCTCCTGATGCATAGGAGTGCAGGTGAGAGCAGAGCCTGCCCCATTCTTCAGACTCACTGAATAGGAAGTTTCCAGTTCTTGCAACAACACATGCAGTTTTATTGTCCTAGTGAAACTGGTACAGACCCAGCAAAAGCATTTTAAATCAAGAGCATCCCTGTGGGGTCACTTGCAGAAGGGCAGGCTTTAGGGCTGAGCAGGGATGAACCCTTCTTCAAGTCCTGCACAGATGCCTTACCTGGGCCCCAACCAGACCCTGCTCACCTACCCAAAAGGAAGGGGAGGCAGCTTGCAGGACCAAGGATTCCTCAAGGCAAGGTTCCCCCTACTGTGACAGGCTGCAGAAATAGTGGCGCTTGAAGTAAAGACCCTTTTGCTGTATGCAGCCACCACCTGATCCTCTAACTCAAACCTTAGAGGCAATAGTCCTAAAATTATCAACACCAAGCACAGCAGCTCTGCCCTGTTACCTCCAGACCATCAGCCATTTCAAGCTGACATGTCATCCCCTGACAAGTTGTTTGAATAACCAGTGCTAGTGATGTCTTTATTTGTTTTGCAGACTAATACAAGCTGCAGCATCCACATAATTCCTCCAAAAAACTTGGTAAATGACTAAATTCTGCAACATTTTCCTCTTGAATAGCACGGCGTTTGCCTAGAGCACACTCCCAACATCAGTACTTCACAGTGAGCAGGGCTGTAAAAGTCATCTCTCTTGCTAACTTCATTTTCTCGTGTGCACCATTTTATTTTGCTTCTGATGAAACCAGCTGTCACAAATCCTCGTGGCTGCTCACCAGAGCATGGCACAGTAACGCTAGCTTGTCTGTATGTCCGCTTTCCACATGTTAGGAATGTGCCTTCTGTGGTTTACTGTGATTCATTGGAGGTTACAGGGGGTACCCTGGGTGTTGCCTACCAAAAGCCAATTCAGAGGGGCCCCAAACATTTCCCGGCTGCCCCCAGCCTTCTCTTCATCATCCTCTAGACTGATGGATGATAACATGTCCTGTGTGAAAATAATTTCTGTCCTTATTGGATCCCATTCAGAAGATAGAAAGGGAATTCCTGTTGCCAAACAAAGAGTTGTAGCAGACTGTTTTTGTGGGTCAGGACACCTTCCCCTTCCCTGTCCCAATGGGAACAGTTAATTTTGCCTGCTTACACAGCCAGAAAAGAATTTTTGCAGGATCTGAGAAATATTAACCCCTTCACCGTGCAAATT